TCGGGGCTTCTCCCGGAAAAAGATACAAAGAAATTTACGTCAAGAGGCTGGTTATTCTGTTCTATGAAAAGTGTCACAGGATAACCCTTGGATAGCTTTTTATTAGACTTCAAATGACCATGTGTGAGAAATGTGATTCTAGAAACACAGAGCATATGACATATAGCCAAACAGCAACCAGGATCCAGGGACACGGAATCCGCAGAGACGCCTGTTATGCAAACACCTGCGAACTGGGAGCTGTGCCAGGAAAAGGAGCAACTGTTCCTGCTGCTGCGCGCTCTCCGCACAGTGCAGATGACCTGTGTGTCCCTGCGTGTGAGGACTTGGCAGGAGCAGTTTAGACTCTTAGTATTTTTTGGTTTGTCTCCCCCCCCCCATTGGTATTTTCCTAAATCAACCCCTTGGAGTTCAATTTTTTCATTTGTGGCACTGGGTGATTTGGGGCTTGATTCTGCATTCCCTACTCAGGCCAAACTCCAGTGATCCTGCAAGGGTCTACGCCAGCTCCCCTCCCACTGCAGGGGAGGGAGCTCAGTGATTGCAAGATAGGGGATTTGTCTTTGAATGTCTCTCAGCACTGGCAAGAATCAGCCGTCAGCTCCTTCCTGTGCCATCGCATAAGGGACAAGGTATCTGGAGAAAGCCCTTCTGGACCAGAAACATCTAATTACTGAACTCACACATGGAACCTTTCTCAGGGAGAACTCACCAGGGGAGTAACAACCCAGCACCCCATCCTGAACACTGCATATCTCCAGCGCGCCACACTCCCAGCCTGTGCACGTGATGTTGTTTTTGCTGTTGCAGGTGCAGCGCTCGGTGCAGGCGTCGTGGGTGAACCAGTTTTCACCGAGCTGTTGGAGAAAGGAGAAGCACTTGAATATATAATAGTATATAGTCTATCGAGTAGTGTCACCCTAGTGCAGTGGTTTTCAAACTGTGGGTTGGGACCCTGTACTGGGTCGCGGAATGTCAGGCACTGGGTCATGGCGGCTGTGGTCAGCACCACCACCCGGACTGTTAAAAGTCCCGTCGGCGGTGCTTCCCGGCTAAGGCAGGCTAGCCCCTACCTATTCCGACACTGCGCCGAGCCTTTGGAAGCCGGGGAGTGGGGGGTGGAGGGGTTCTGCGGGTGAGAGCGACGCCGAGCTGCTTGCGTGCCTCTGCCTAGGAGACAGACATGCTGCTGGCTGCTTCTGGGGCGCAGCGCGGTCCGCGGTGCCAGGACAGGCATGAAGCCTTCCTCTGCACCCCGGCTGCACTGCTCACCGGGAGCCGCTGGAGGTAAGGCCGTGCCGCAACCCCGCGCCCCAATCCCCTGCCCCAGCCCTGAGCCCCCCGCCTCAAACCTGGAGCCACTTCCTGCTCCCCAAACCCTTTATCCCCGGCCCCACCCCAGAGCCTGCATCCCCAGGTCAGAGCCCTGACCCCCTGCTGCACCCCAACCCCCTGCCCGAGGCAGAGCCCCCTCTCACACCCCAAACCCCTCATCCCCAGCTCCATTGCCTCATGGGCATCAACAATTTTCTTCAACTGGGTCACCAAAACAGAAGTTTGAAAACTCCTGCCCTAGTGGATAATCAAAGGAGTTGGGAACAGTTAAATGCCTCTGATACTCTCCATGCTATGAGCTCCCTCCCCAGTGAGATGCTGTGGCCCAGGAGGAGGTGTCCGGGACTGGGACACCTGAGACCTGCGTTCTATTCTCAGCACCGGCCTGCTGGATGAGCTTACGCAAGCCACTTGACTGCTCAGTGCCTCAGTTTCCCCTTCTGTAAACTGGGGATAATGATACCGACCTCCTTGGTAAAGCGCTTTGAGATCTGCTCTTGAGAAGAGCTAGGAATGGTTATTATTTACATGAACAATTCTATCCACTCAACCCACTGACCTGAGCCCAGATGAAGTTAGTCTCTGTTCTTTAATTATAATCAGGTACAGTGACACTGAAAGAATCGGGGATTGTTGTATCTGTTTCTAGGTGCTCAGGATAACTTGCCTGATGATAGTGGTTGTTTCCATCCACACAACCGCAGCTGCTCTCGGGCACACAGGCGTCTCCACTCAGAACGTAGCCTTCCTTACAGAAACAGCCTTCCACTGGTAGGGAGCTGCAAGGGCTAAATGCAGCGGGAGTCCCGCAGGTGGAAGGACACCTGCTCCCACAGCTCTCGTACTGGCTTCCTCCCGGACAGGAGATTGCTACAAGGGATAAGAAAAACCCAGATCACGGAAAGGAAAAGATCCCAAAGCAATTCTCTTGAAACTTCCTGTTTGTTCCAGGACAGCCAAGGGTTGTTAGAACGCTCTGCATAGGGCGACTGCTCTGTGCTGAGGTTTTTCTCCAGGGACAGAGTGGAAACCCTTTGCGCAGGGAATGACAGACAGACAGACAGACAGACAAATGATGCCTGGTAGGGGACTGGTTGTATCCAGGGATCGGAAATAGGCAACAGGATACAAGTCCAGCCTTTCACCTATTGACGTGGGGGCTAATAGGAGCCTATATAAGAAAAAGACCCAAAAATCTGGACTGTCCCTATAACATCAGAACATCTGATCACCCTATTCTCAGCTGGGGTCCGTAGGTGCTTCTCTAATATACATAACAAATCATACGAACAATTTAGGGGCAAGGAGGAGACTTCACTCTATGCATCTGAAGAAGTGGGCTGTAGCCCACGAAAGCTTATGCTGAAATACATTTGTTAGTCTCTAAGGTGCCACAAGTACTCCTGTTCTTTTTCCAAATCTTCCTATTGCAGAGTTTTTTGCACCTTCTTCTGAAGCAGTTGGTGATGGGCGCTGTCAGAGACAGGATCCTGAGTTTGCTGGCGCATGGCTCGGTTCCAATAAGACCCTTCCAATGGGGACCGTTTATCGCCTCGATAGGATCTCTCCGGAACAGAGCTGATGCGCACCGTGCACACAAGGCGGGGGAAGATAGCCCTGCAGCCTCCTGTGCAGCACCTGTTCTATGGGCTACTGGAGCAACGGTGGCCCTGGTTCTCCTCTGGCTCACTCCAGCTTTACACTGGAGAACCTCCATGGACTTCTGTGGCTACTGCTGATTCCCACCCATGGAAGTGAGAGGAGACACAGACCCTCTTCCTCTAAACTGACAAGAAGGGACTGTGGTGAGTTTCACTCGAGTCGCGGGTACTACAGCTTGCACGGCAGCTCCCCAGACTGTAGACGCTCTATGGATAAAGAGAGGATTTCAACCTCTCCGGCGCTCTTATTTTACCAGCATGAAACTCAGACACATTAATACTTAGATGCTTTGTGAGGCTAGATCAGATTCAGTCTGAACAGTATACCAAACCTGGCAGGATCCATTGTAGAACTGGACCAGACTCAGGACAAGCGAAAGGAGAGACCATCTTCAAAGCATTACGGAAGAGGAAAGTCCATGCCATCAGAAGACACAGGAAGCTCTATTTTTTAAAAGCTTCTTGCATTAAAAAAAAGTTGAATTCAAGAAATTAATAGTTATAAATTACAACACTCACGGCACAAAGTATTATTTCTCCATTCTCTGCAGATCCCAGCATTTGTGCACGACTCTGCATAAGCCTGCAGCCCATTGCATAAAGACACTGTCTGTCCCTCAGTCTGACACATGTCGTAAACGCAGTTTTCCAAGAAATTCTCTGGAGCTACTTTGGCGTGGCAGTCCTTGAAGATACCTATGTAAGTCAAGAAAGAAACAGAATCACAGAAAGATGAGATGGAAGAAGCCGAGCTTCACCACTAACCATCCCCTGTCAGTGCTCCATGGCCGGTGCAGGCTGACCAGGTCTCTATAATCAGCCAGACCAAAACCTGGAGCTGAATACACCCAAATACTGGTGAGATTTGGCTCTGTTTGGCTTAGGCCTGTCTCTTCCATTTACAGGGTGAGGACAATGTAACTCAAAGTGGATACACTTGTTCTTCATATCCAGCTAGCAACACCCTGGTAGGTACCACATATTGGTATCTGAGACACCCCACTATTTCCCTGTCTCCGGAGCAGGGAGTGCCTAGAGCTCTTCAGATAGCCCTGTAATATAGGGGAGGAATGAGGACCACTGCCAGTCAATGGGAGCTCTGTGCAGGCAGGAGCGGCAGAACTAGGCTTCCAAAGTGCAATTCCCAAATAATCTTCATGTCCTGGTGCCATGTGAATGCACGATCCAGTCTGAGCAGGTAAAGGAACACAACTCCTGGGGCATCTAGTGCGGCTTTTAGCGTTGGGGGCTGTACACATTTCAAGGGGGACTCAGAGCCGTGGGCCCCAGGGAGCAAGGTCCAGGTGCAGGCAAGTGCATGCTGTAATTTGGAGTGATTTCAATCAGTTTGCCCAGGACTAAGCCACTGCCATAGTACCTGTCGGGTCGGTGATCATGCCACAGGCTGTGTTCTTCCTCGCTTCACTCTCCAGCCGGGGGTCACAGTCCGGTACTGGCTGAGGGGAGCATCTGGGCAAGGCAAGGGAAAGAAAATCTTTTGATGTTTGTTTCTTTATCTCCCTGGGCCAGATCTGGAAAGGACGATGCCATGTCTGCACAGAAGGCACCATTTTATTACAGCCACAGAGCAGAATCTAGGCTCACTGACAGGCTGAGTTCTGCCCCCCACACCCACACCACAGGAGGGGGTTCCCATTCCGGCACTGGGCACTATGCGGTGCTCCACGGCTCAGAGTTGAATTAGGGGTGGAACAAGCTGCTGCAGGAACCAGTGAATCTGTCTGGCTCTTGACTGGGACAGCAGGTGACCTCCCACCCACCAGCAGGTCTTCCTGGACTGGGAGACAGCAGAGCCCGAAGGCAGATGGGAGCAGGCCAGCCACTCACTCCCTGCTCATGGCCAACTGGAGAGGGGGTTCCTGGGTGTACTGGAGAGGACGGGAGTTGTGCTCAGCCCTAGTAGGAGAGCAGGTGGTGGAGTCATGGATGGGCGCCCTGTGGCTGAGTATGCAGAACGCTTTCCTAGAGCTTTTGTAGCAAAGACCAACTGATTTGCTTCCCTCTGTACATACATGCTGTTATTCTCTGCCACTAGCCAGCTCTCTCCAAGCTCAGTGGAATCTCCTGCAGTGCTGCCATTCGGCTTTAGGTTGTCATCCTTTGCATCACCATTGTAATTACCTACGAAAAATGAAAAACGTGCAGAATACGTGAAATTCACAACTACAGAATGCACATTAGCGTGTGGTTGTCAAATATACTGTAAGGAACTGGCTAGTGTGTATGTGCACCAGTGCCCTCTCCGGGAAGGAGTAAGAATTGCTCCCTACGCATCTCAGACCCCACTGTAGATTAAATGGAGCAAGTAGTCTGGCATTCTGACTGTGTCAGATCACACAGTGACTGGGGTAAATGGGACACAGAACAGTAAGAACTAACCTGCACCCTTACACTCAAACTCTATAATTTCTGAACTTTAAAAGCCATGCGGGTAACACTCAAGGAAATGTCATCCCCCGGGGAACTTCCAGTTCATCCAGATCCAGGGAGAACCAGAAACCTCACAACACAACCTACTCTTGCAATTGAATTCCAGGAGTTGGGTTTAATGTGCAGGTGGCTGGGTGGTGTTGGCGGCCCCTGCCCTAGAAGAGGTGAGAGTAGATGACGTGTGCTCCCTTCTGGCCTTAAACTCCAGCACTCCACTTTTCATAGCCCCATTTTCATCCCAGGGAAATGTGGATGAGCTTCCGATAAGCATCTGGGCTGCTGGACGGTTATTCCATGTAACGGGGTACACTGGCCCTTTAAGCCTAGAGGCAGCCAGAAGACGCCGTTCCAGGAATACTGGAAGGAGCAAAGGCAAAGGAAATGGCCTAAGCCAGAGGAGAGGAAGTGGTCCTAGGGAATAAGTAGTTGGAAGGGGGTGCTCAGGGGGCAGCTGCCCTGATACATCCCTGTTGAACCTGCGGAGGTTCAAGTATTGCCAGGCTTATCAGCTGGCAATCTAATTGGTCTCTGCTCGCTCCAGAGGGGAGTTTGTCACTCGTCACCCGCGTGCGATAACCTGGAGTCTCCTTTGCTGTGTCACTGGATCAGAACTGGGTCCCTTACTGCATCAAATACACGCCTCCGACCTGTGTCTGGCATCTGCTCTATTCTGTCTTACTGGACTCTCAAGGGCTCGCTGTGGTTTGCCTCCTGCACAGCACCCAACATTTGCTTGCGCTTGAGAAAGAATATCAAATCATTGTGGAGATTCGACATGAAAAGGACGTACACTGGGTTATCTAGTCCATCTCCTCGGCTACTTCAGCATTGTCCCCCAGGGGATATTTTCTAATGCTTTGTTTGCAGCAGACCCACCTCTACTGCAGCTGGACAACAAAAAGCAGCTCTAAAAAGGAGGCTCAGTGATCAGAGACGCCTTTGCCCGTGCTCGGACTGTAACGACGACAGTGCTGAGACAGTTTGCATCTGCGAGTCCAAGGAACAACACAGCAGAGCAGAAAAGCTCAGGACAGCTGGTAAACAGTGACTTGGAAATCTGTCCTTAGCCAGAAGAACGGCCTTAAAGTTTTATTATCGTTTTCAAGTTTAAAGAAATGAAAAGCGTAGATTGGGCTTGACAGTTCCAATCAAAGAGAGACAGACACGCTGCGATGCAAGTGAGAGAAAACAGATATGAGTGGCCCTGGCCCTTGACCAGAGGCATCCAGGGTAGGGCGGGGATAATATTTAGACTGTAGTTTTGAATGTGAGATTCTTCTCCTGTTAACAATGACATCTGCAGTTGTCATTTCTGACACTCGAGTTAACGCCTGGGTAACCAGAGTTCTCGTAAGTTATGATTGCCAGGTACCCAAACAATGATGGTTTCTTTAAACCAGTGCCCTACACCGCAGTCCATACAGTACAGACTAGATTACTCTGGGGTAAACATAACACGGTACAAAAAACCCCAACCAATCCCCAAACTTCCTGATTTATTGAAAAGCTCCTGATCGTGTGACTTGACAGTTCTCAAGAACAGGGATACTCACCACACAGGCCACAGAGCTGGCCCTTGTAACAACCGGACACTGAGACCTCCACATAGTGATTGCCGTCAAATCTGACCCAGAGTCCGAAATCAGTTTCCAAGAGCACGTAGCCCCCACTGATCTGGACGTTGATCTTGTTTTCAATCACCATAGGCAGGTTCCTTCTGGTGCCATTCACCTGTAAAACACGTTGGGAAAATCTGGTCATGACTAAGTACCCCCATAATTCCCAGTGAATCGCCCATGAATGGTCTAGCCAACGAGTTCACTGGCAGGAATGTTCTCATTCACACTGGGAAGTTGGAGGAAATATGACAGAATGTTCACAGAAAGCAAATGTCAACTGCCAGTGCTGAGTATTCTCAGTGGAAGCCTAATTCTAAGAAGCACACCCAACCAATGAGAAAATGGAAACCCACCATGTGACCTATACATCCAATCAAAT